AATGGTTTTCAATCTTCTTTTCTCCAGTATAATCATAGGGGATCTCATCTATACATGTTATTCTGGCCAATTATCTATACTCTGCGGATTTTCACTAACAAGAATCACACTGAGCAGTTTAAACACTTTCTCAACTTCTATGCCTATGCTCCACCCTATTTCCAAAGGGAAAAAAATTCTCTCAATCATGCTAGCTACTCGAATGTCTAGTCATTGCCGCATTTAGAAGGATTAAGTTATCGGTCGAAAAACGATTCTCACGGGAGCGTTGAAGCGCTTGTAATCGAAAGTTTTCAACTAAGAAACTTTCGCTGCTGTTGGCCGATGTAAATGAGCTCGCCGATAGCCTTTCGGCATCGTTGGCGTCTGACGAGTAAATATTGTCATTTCCACGTACGTACTTACTCTATACGCAACACTCTGCTGTCACATTCTGCTACACTCTTACCCTAATTTTTGCACTTGCGGGTAAGGTGAAAGTACCAGAAATCAACTTAAGTCTATCCGCTGAAGGCAGGCATATAGAACTCAACTTCTCAATCGAACAGTGAATTCCTTATAGATCCACTCTTCTATCTATGCCATTGATTGCACTCAGAACCAATTAGAAGATTAGAAAATTTTGAAAAGACAAAGTGTAGAACCTACCATTTAATGTGTCCTATCAAAAGCTCTTGGAATGCGGCTTCTAAACCTATTAAACGCAGTCTTGTTTTCTTAATCCTCTTTCAGGAAGCTCGTTTCAAACTAGAATAGTCGTAGATAAAGCGAAAATTTCTAAAAATACAAACGTATTACATTCCCATTTTTGACGCATGTCGATTCGAAATTATTATAGCTGCAATCTCTAGCAACTCCATTAATTACAGTATTACGCTTCACTTAATTGAAACTTTCAAATTCACCTACTTTTTCTAATTCTCCTGGATAATTATGAAAATTCATTTTGCCTCGCGCTCTTACCTCATTAACAAATTCCTTTCCACTCGCTATTTCTTCTCTTTCGAAATCTAAACTAGGATCTGCCTTTGTCAACATCACACTACAAACAAGGACTCATCAGACTTGTCAACTTCAATTGAATCAATTTGCGTCAACTATCTTATCGCACCCCTTTCTTTACTTCTTAGATGGACATTGGGTTGGCAGTGATGTATAAGAATATGCGCATTCTGTTTTTGTAGACTTTGCGAACTTTGAGCAAGTCTGAACAAGTTCATTTAGAAGTTTGACGTTTTCATCAGCATAAAAAATTTTGTGTATTAGAGACGGTGAGGAGCAACATAGAAGAGTAGAGATTATGTAGTGTAACCTTCTTTTCATGATAGGGATTCTTCTTTGTAATGCTTTCGATATACGAATTTCTTAGTGATATGAAAATTTCCATATTTCTCTGCTCATACTATACAGAACAAACACCCTCATATACTTAATTATTCATGAAATTTCCTCAAATTTTATATGTTTGCGGAAATGAATGTAAATTGTCTTCAGCTCTACTGAACTTGTCTTTGAAATACTAATTCTTCATCTTTCGTCATTTCGTATTGTTGACGTAAACACGTATAAAAGCGATCGCTTGTCTCAGTTTTTAGACATTTTTACGCATCCTCCTGTCAGCAAGCAGCTGTCATCACTACTTTTCATTATGATCGTGATCATGAGGTAATTGACAACTGGTTTTTTGTCTTGTTCCACAAATTTTCACTGCTTTGTCACGAAACGCCTATTAATCAATAATAACAAACAGGGTACTCTATGAGAAATGAAGTCACAGATTATTAAATTTCTAAAGGAAAAGTTTTCCACGGCCTAGTACGTGTTAGATACAAATCAAAGAAGAGAAAGGCCC